ACACCCAACGTTCAGAACCCCCACGAACTTACCTGTAGCACCACCATTGCAGCATCCACCTCTCCCCTCCACTTTTGACAGTCGGCACACATCCACACACACACACCTGCAGAGGGCTGGATTTGGGATTCAGCAGGCGGATATTGCTTTACAGCTGTGATTAGCCCGGCCGCGTGGAGAAAGGCAAAGCCTGCTGTTTCATGCAGCTATTACCGGCACCAGGGAGAGCTCGCCTATCTGAGAATATGTCAATTACGAAAATATGATTACAGCCTTGTAGGAGGTGGAGGATTTGTGTCACCGCCCCCCTTTCTCATTCACTAATACACACATGCACGCTTTCTCCCTGAGTCTTGTTCTCTATCGCTCATTAAACCCCACAATAAGTGAACAAAAGTCGTGTATTATTTTTTTTACCAAGAAAAAAGTACAGGGGATGGCGGGAAAGACGCATGGATGAAGAGAGAGTGGGGGATGAGACGAGGGACGGTGCAGAGAGCTGGTCGGCAGGAAAAGTGCAGGAATAAGAAGGTGGAGGCTGAGAGCATGAAGTCACACCGGCCCTGACAGGCCGAGTGCGATGGTGCGGAACCAGCTTAAGCGCTGGCGTGAATGACCAATCGTAAAATCGATCCCAGAGTTTCGCCAGTTTTACCAGATTTACTTGACTGGTTATGCCGTTGTTTTGGCATCTTGGTGCATCTCTCATAGAAATAGAATTGGATAAAAAGCGTGTGGGTGAATCCTGACCTTGTTAAATCTGTGACGCTCGCAATGGCAAAAATGCACATAAAAATGGCCGACCTTTTTGTCATTTGTTCTACTGCAAATCTTTTTCTTACGGTTTCCCTCATTGAATGAGCTGCTCTTAGCCAACCAAAGGCTACAAACAAACAGACGGTGATTGCCTTCTTAATACAAATCTCCATCTTCATAGTACATTTCTTCCTCAGCCATTGACTACGCTTGCAATGACTATTGTTGTACTTTTGCCAAATATTACAGTAATTTTCTCACAGTTCAGCTTGTACAATCTGTTGAACCGCATCAGTATGCTGCTCTACGCCATAATTGTCCTTATTACTAAGGGGACCAAATTGTGCTCCTGACCGTTGGAAAAACAGCCCCAGTGCAGCAAAAACCAAAGTTCCTTTTTGGGCTGTGCAGAAAATACTGAAGAGGTTTTTCATGTTCATCCACAGCTGGACTTATGGACATGAGCTTATGGACATATAGCTGCCTGTAGCTCTCTAGCTGTCTGTCCACTTGAAACAAAGCCAATCAAGAATTCTGCTTATTTCAAAGAAAACACTGCTTGAGAGGGCGAGAGGAAGCTTTTACCCGTAGACACACGAGCGGTTAATGAAGCCCTGTTACGCCTGCTTAATTGTGTTTTTCTAGCTGGTCTCCTCTAAAAACCTTCTCTTTTGCTCTACAGCCAGTCAATAATAGTTGCTATTGGCAATGCACTGGTAATATTTTTTTAGCTTTATTTTGGCTATATTTGCAGATGAAAATGAGTTTGATAAGTCTAAACCAAATAAGTCAACTTGCGGGCCATAAAATAAATGCAGATACAGACAAGACTCTTCCTGAGGGTGATAAGTGATTGAGAGGGATTCATTTTACATCGTCCTCCTCCGTTGTTTGTCAACATTATCTTCAGATTGCTGAAAGGAAATTCCCTCAAACGTGCCGTAAATGTCCACTTGGACTCAGAAATGTAAAAAAACTCAATAGATTTCGTTTGCCGTGTCACTTTGACATAAAGTCGACTAGTTCTTATGCACGGAACACCGTAACTCAAGGATTCATATCCTACCCAAGACAATTTAAAGAGTTCTGATATTTCGGGGAGACATTCTTGAGGGAAGATCACAGGGATGTGATTCTCTGTGTGGTCCATGTTTCTTGTGCGTTCTGGTGGAAGTCACATGGTGCAGGAAGGAGACCCATCATAGCAAGCGTCCTCATGCCGAACATGGCATGTGTCGCGTTAACGTTAGAATAAAGGAGAAGCTTTTGTGGGAGAGAGTTGAGGGCCGAATGCTAAAGGGGACAAAAAATGACTGAGACGCATGAAGCAGGAGGGGGGGGGGGGGGCGGCGGAAGAAAAGGTTGTTACTGCAGCTCTCCTTTGAATTCAGATTTCCAAGGCCAGCGTTGCTTTTTTCTGTGAATTAGGCCAAATCCTTCAACACACACTGCTACACAATCAGAGCCTCAGAGTGCTTTTAAAGCTACACACGGCCAGACCAGATCAGATGGGAGTTTATGAGCATCTCAAGCAGTGATGGAATACCATATAAAGAAAAGTGTGTGTTTGGCTGTAGAGGTTTATCAATGGCGACAGTGAGGGAAATGCGGTCAGAGTGGTATTTCAGAGCTGCGGCTGCACCCATTGACACCAACATTGGATGAGAAGAATGGTGCCTTGTTGAAGAGGCTTTATTCCACACAATGTGCTGCTAGGAGCCCAGAAACACACCGCACACTATGTTGTGTTGTGTGAGACCGAGCCAGACAAACGAAAGTGGGTAGATGCACATGTGACGGACTCCTTTTCAGTTCTTTCCTCCCGACTCAACCAGTTTTTGCATTTTGTGCAACGCGTGTGGCTTTAGTAGGATGTCTGCAGGACAAAAGGGCTGCTAAAGGTCTACCGTGTCATTGTTCTCATGTTTTTTATTGTAAGGTGGACCATTGACTATCAGGTCGGTGTGAAAATCCAACCAAAGCGTCTGCCACATGAATGTAACCTAGTGTATCATAATTCAACGTACAGAATTTCTCTACAAACCTTTGACGGAGTACTGCCACCTCTTTAGTCTTCACAAATTAACCTTTCTAAAGCCTCCAGACGCACCGGATTAATCCGTAGTGGTCCAAAGGTCACTGTGACTTCACTGAAAACCAGACACAATCCACGCATTGATATGCTGAATACGACAACTTGACACTGATTCCTGATGGGACAGAAGGACGTTTGGGACCGACGCGGCCCGTCGGTGGTTGGGGGAGACGTACGCTACAGCGCGACTCTACCTAATGAACTCAACTTGTCTTTCTACCAGTTACGCTTGAGACTGACATGTTACATTTCCCTCTGCTCATGTTGACCCCACCCCCCCCCCCCCCCCTTAGACCTGCTATCATTGATTTTCTGTCCTTTTTGGTTGCAAACAGGGGCGTATTTACACCCTAACGCTTAAACGCTCACATGAATTTATTGTTCCTGGTCTTTTAACTCTGTTTTGCTATTCACCAACTTCTAATATTGATAAATATTATCCTCCTTAGCTGCTAAACACTGCACTGTTTTCCCCAGCTGGCCTCTGACTGTGTATGTCTGCCGTTTGGTGCATGGCCCGATATTGTGCAGTCCGTTTCTGGTCATCTTTTAAACTCCTTTTCACTCCCTCCACCTCCCAGAAGGCCTCCCACAGAGCCGGTAGACCGCCGTCTGTTCGACAAGCATGTGTCTCGAGGAAGGAAGTCTAACGGCCAACAATTAACGCAGTTTGTGGGGGGGTTTGAAGTTTTTACCTTTTGCCAAAAAGCTTAGCAGCAAATTGAATCGACCCCCTGTGATTGAGTCGTGTTATGTCTCTGTGAGACATCAACGCGGAGCAGGTGAAGACGCCCCGCTGCCTGTTCTCACCTCACATTCACTCCTCAGGAGCCAGAATCTTGCTAATCGTGCGATTAATAGAAGGAGGCTCCATCCTGAACCCCGTCAGCACCTGACTCACCTTAACTGGCTTCACTTGAGAGAAAATATTAAGCGCATGTGCAGTTGTGATCATCGGTCCTCCTCATCTGCCCCTGCATCCTCCACTTGTCCTCCCTTTTCCCTTTTCTGCTCCCTGTGCTATCATTCTCTCCTCCTCCGTGACACCTCTTCTTCTGTCTTCTGCATCCTGCCCTCCTCCCCGTCTCCTCCGTCCTCCCGCTATCGTTCTCTTCTCTCTCCTCCTCCCTTCCTTCCTCCCTCCACAGTCAAAGGAAGTCAGCAGAGAGACGGAGGGGAGCAGCCCTGCCTGCTAAGCAGTTGAGCACAACACACTCGCACACGCTGTGTGTGTGTGTGTGTGTGTGTGTGTGTGTGTGTGTGCGCGCGCGCTTGTGTTGTGAATTCACCCGTTTGTGTGTGTGTGCGCTGCAGAAGCCGCTGTTTATCACAGTCACCCTTATCTTATTCATGAAGTCCTGCTGACTATTGCCTCGCCTTTTCTCCCGCCATTGTTTGTGTTAGCTGCACACACACACACACACACACACACACACACACACACACACACACACACAAACAGTGGTACGAAGCTCTTAAGCAGGTGTAACTTTGCTGGCAGCTCCATCCCATTAGACATAATGGGTGTGTGCCTGAGAGGTTTCAAAAACAATAAAAGGGGCCTGGTAGGAACGTGTGTGTGTGTGTGTGTGTGTGTGTGTGTGTGTGTGTGTGTGTGTGTGTGTTTATATCTATATCTCTTTGCAGCAGCCTAATTAATGTCATCTGTCTCACTTACAGTGACAATGCTTTTCCTCGTTTTTTATTTTTCATCTCGACTCTCCCCTCGGCCTCTCGCTGCTTTCTACCGCCTTGCTTCATCTTTTCCCACCCGGTCAGCGTACGCCTGCGTTTCTTTTGACTGTGAGCTTTCCGCACAGACAACGTTTGGATATTTTCTTCTCCTTGTGGATTTTGTCTTTGTGGCGATTAAATATTCTCCCACGCTGTAGGTGGCAGTGTGTTGTAAATGCCTGTTTACCGGGCGCCAACCTGATGGCCGGCAGGGGGCGACTCCTCTGGTCCGATAGCAGCTCCATGCATAGAATATGAGAGAAGGAAGCTGCTTCTCTCTTTGCTTCATTCGCTCAGTAAACTTTGTACACATGAGTTTATGTTTTTCGAGACTTATTCTTGTTCAAGACAGCGTGGCCAGATGTTTTCGGTGAAGCTACATACTTCATGCATCCCTTTTCGGTCTCCCTGACAGCCCGGCTCTGGTGCAGCACCTCAGCAGGCGGACCCCTCCACCTCCTCCTCCGCTTCCTCCTCCACTTCCACCACCACCACCACCAAGGCGGAGGAGAAGAAGAAGCTTCTATCGAAGGACTCCATCCTGTCTCTGTACGCCAGCAGCTCAGTGGCCAGTCAGCCGCAGAGCCACCAGCAGCCTGCGCCGGGACAAGGTGACGCACACACACACACACACACACAAACACACACACTCTATCGCATGTTGTTGGCCTCTCAGCACCTCAACAAAAGCTTTTAACTTACAGCTACAGGGTGCAACGGACCCTGGCTCGACACCAGGCAGCATTGGTGCAGGACCTATTGTTTGTTTTGGTATGTTGACAAACAGAAGGCCGTTGGCGACTAGCTGGTGAACGCGGCAGAGCAATTAGCAGCTATTTCCCCTCTGGAACGGAAGTCTGGTCGCTGCCACGGCAGCATGTGTGCACGCAGCGTGTTGCACTGCCCCCGAAGTGACCAAACAATAATTGAAGGCAGGTTTACAGCCACTACACAAAGTCAAAGGAAAGACACAGGAGGAAAAACTCCCTCCAAAACTTTTTTTTTTTTTTTTTTTACCCATGTAAGCCAACCAGCTCCTTTTTGAAAAAGAATGTCTGTTATCGTAAATGAAAATGAAGAGAGACAAAGGTCAGCGTGCTGAAGAGCTGGCTCGTCCACTTACCGGAGTCCCGCCGCCGCGGCAGCACAGACGGACGAGCAGAATCACGCTCGTCACACAGCTGTTGTGTGTAAACACCGACGGCTCGACGCGGCTGTTTGCATAATATGCTACGTGCACCCACTCCAGCTTGGGAGCGTATGGGAAAGCGTTGATTGTATCGCTGCATGATCGCACCAACGCGAGAGGATTAGCGAAGGAAATCGGCATGAAGGGCTTTCTGCAGCCTCATTGTCCTCTCTTGAGTCCAAATAGATGCTGATGGAGATCAAAGCCAAAAGAACCTCGCTAGGCTAATGCCTCAGGATCACTGACTTTCATCGTGCGTGTGCCTCTGCAGGATACTTGTGGATCTAAGTGCAGCTAATTAACTTCCAAAATACTACAAACAGTCTGTGTAACCTTTCTTGATTAACGCTGAACTTGCTCCAGCAGATTCAAATGTGGAGATGTGAATAGAGCCAAAGAGGCCGTATTTCAGCATCTGGTGAACGTGTCATTGCATTCTGTGCGGCTGACATCAGAGGATATTGTGTCCATTGACTCATTCCCTCTTCGTAAAAAAAACAGATATTTTGCCACTTCTTCATTATTTAGTAGCATTTCTCCTTTATGGGGTGTTAAAATGGGCCAACTGGCAAACTTCTAACTAACACGGATCCTCAGTTTGACCCATCAAGGGTTTGTGATTTTGCCAAAAGTTGGCTGTGGGCTGTTGCTTTTGCTTTTGATTTGAATCCGCAGGAAATGTTTGGTTTGCATTTTGAAAGTAAACTGTGAGGCTTCTCTTCATAAAAACTGACCATTAACTTGGAACCCCGAGCTGCATAATCACCTGTGAATCCCCACATTTGATCCAGAGGGACCGCCGGGCGCCGCTAAAATACTGAACTGTAAAACAAGCCAACTGGTAGAAAAGTTAACATACGCAACGTGTCCTTGCCCCAGCAGGAATGTACGCGGGCCAGCCTCAGATGCAGTTCACCCCGCAGGGCTTCACGGGGGCGGCCGGAGCCGTCCCGCCCTCCGCCGCCACCATGATGGGCGGGGGGGCCGTGATGTCCGGCGTGGCTCTGCCCAACGGGGGCTTGGTGGGCCTGCAGCAGCAGGGCGGGGTGCCAGCCAACCAGGGGCAGAACATGTACAGCATGCAGCAAGGACAGTGGAGCATGAGCCAGGTATCACTCACACACACACTCCGATGGGGGGCGCGTTCGCTTTTATGGTGATAGTGAAGTCATTTAAACATCCGGATGCTTGTAATTCCTCTTCTGTTTCTCTGTAAAGTCGTCTTTTACGACGCCCACTTACTCGCTCACTCACCTCGACACCACCGGTCAAGCGCTTCCATCATCCTGGTTCAGTTAATACGTTGTCTTCCACTGTTTCCTGCATCCCTGTGTGCCGCTACCAGAGCTGTTTGTGATGAATCTAAGTCAAATACCACCACCAAAAGATCTAATATGACAACGAGCACAATCCCCAAAGGCAGCGGCGCGCAAAATGGCATTTCACAACCGATAGCTGACATTGCTACAACTACGTCCACTTCTTGTATAAAGTCTATGCTTCTAACATGAAAGACGTTCAACAATTAATGACTGAGACAGTTAATTCCGCCTAAAGTATTGACTTGGTCTCATTTAGTAAGTATTTAACAAGTGTATGTTTTCATTAAACTGCTTATAATGGAGTTGTGTTTTATCAACACGGCTGGTTTGTTTTTGAGGATGACATAAGGAAATGGCACTAAATGGCACTAAAGGTAGAGGGAAGCAAAGCTTCCTTATGGGCTTTATTGTCCTTAATATCTCTAATATTTACACAGCAAGTTTACAGGCTCAAATAAATATTATTATTAATTGCAAAAAAAACTCCCTAAAGGGACTTCGGGCAAACCTGTCATGCCTAACAGGGTATTTAATAAAACAAAACGCGTTTATTATTTATTATCAAACTTGAAACAGTCAATAAAAACATCAAGTTAAGTTGATTCTGGCTGCACAGCTGGATATCCACATCTGTAAGTCTGTTGGCCAACATCAGGGGAGGAATGACGTCAGGTCTTGAACAATGTGTGCTGCATCTCGTATGGAAATTCATCTGTTTCTATTCCTATTCGTGTTTGATTGAAAGCTGTTCACCCGTAGGCTATCCAGCCTCTCCTTTTGATTAAATATCTTGTTTTTCTATCAAAACCAAAATGACAACACTTTTTTTTAGTTTGAAAAGAATCCGATGTGACATCGCCGTGTTAAAATGATCAAATATTTACAAATTTACAAAAGGTTTTGGACACGAGAACTAGAAGCCGTATCTACACTGGATCAATACTGGGAGGTCACATCTGTCACGCAGCGACACAGAAACCGAAGAGCCTTTGAATATTTAGCATCTATTTATACCGACAGGGATGTTGATTGGCGAAACAACACTCCTTTAATATAATTAGAGAAGTTTGAATATAACGTTGAGGCAGAGGAACAACTACTTGAGCCAAAGCAGCTTCCAGCAGTCTGAGCTAAACTGTTTAGCCTGAGGAAGCTTTTATTGTGACAGTCGAGGGAGTGGATGTGCTCAAAATGACTCCCATCAAATCATTTCCTTCCTCACGCTTTCATCAAGGTCGAATTTTCTGAGCTAACGTGACGTAGCTGCTGCTCAATGAAACACACAACCCGTATACCCATCATGAAGTTGTGTGTGTATGTGTGTTGTATGTTGTCAACATCTTAACATCCTGTCTGTGTGTGTGTGTGTGTGTGTCTGTGTGTGTACACACCTCTATATACACACACATGTATATAGAGGTGATGGAATGGTGGGTTGATGAACGAGCACTCAGTTGCAACACACACACACACACACACACACACGCGCACTGAGCCACCAGCTCTCCGATGACCAGATAAGCCAGTCGCGCTGCGCCGGAGCACGTTCACAATAGATAAGGCAGGATAAGGCCAGCGGGGGAGTGTGGGGGAGGAGGCGATGGAGACATGGGAGTCGAGCTGGAGGTCGGTGGGTCGCCCCCCCACAAACAACCATTGCCTCTTGGATGGGGGAATGGCTGTCTCTCATTTCAGCGTTGATGAATTCTATCACTGACTTCCCTTCTCCCTCCCCCCCTCCACCCCCTCTCCCCTCAGATGTCCCAGCAGATGTCGGGCATGGCGGTGAGTGGCGGCCAGTCAGCGGCCGGCTGGCCCGCGGACCCCCCGCCGGCTTCTGGCCAGACCCTCAGCACTCAGCTGTGGAAGTCATAAGCAGGAGGTCCGAAGGAGAAGTGGGCGTGGCGGGGGGGAGTCGTATGGCACAGCCCAATAATGTGCTCCCGACCCACACAGAAGGAGCCGATTAAAGAACGCACAACGGGGGTAGTTTGACTGCCTTTACTGCCCACCACGGGAAAAAAGTAAAATAAACCCTGCGTGAGACCAGATGACACAACGCTGGACGGAGCGGCGGGAGGGAGACCGTCGTTTCCCGCCCACATTTAGCTTCTTTCTCTTTGTTGTTGTTGTCGTCTGAAGAGAGAGACCCCGAGAAAGCTGCTGGACCGATAACTCAAGTGTCTCTTATAGTAACTATGTATCCTTACCAAAGTGGGTAGTTAGTGAGTAGTCTTTCAATGCAGTAGATATGGCTATTTTGTGGTTGCTCCCTCCCTTTGCTGTGCATATTGTAACCCCCCCCTCCCTCTCTGTAGGGCAGATAGTCGTCTGATCAGTACTGTATATTTGTGATGATGATGTGAACCTCCAGCTGTTTTCAGAGCCATAGGAGAGAGCTCCATGCCTCTCCGTTACATTACTCCATTACTTAGATTGGTATTTCCATCTTCCTCGTTGACGTTCCAGAGGATGTGCGGGTTACTTTAAAGCATCCTGTGGGGGTTTACAGTAGCAGCGCTAAATAGGGGGTTTCAAGCTGCTCACGGTGGAGCGTCACGTCCTTCTCGTCCCTGTTGGTGCACGTGCTGTGGAATGATTGGCAGGTGATGGTGGCAAATGTAAATTTCAGCCATTTCGCAAAACTTGTGACACATCTTCGCAAAAGATGTGACAGCAATGTCAAATTGAGACAAAGGCATTAGCCTAGCTTAGCTTCTAGACTTAGAGCAAGGCTGTTCCCACCTGCTTTATTTAAAAGTTTTAAAAAGAAACTTTAAGAGAACCATCAATGAAAAAAAAAAGCTCATAGATTTACTGAAAATACCGTTTTTGTTTTTGGTGTAAACATTTTAAAATGTACTTTTACATGCAGATGATTCATTGCGGTTTGTCACACGGCGGCTGGTTATAAACAGCCCAACGGGTGACTTCTAGTGATTGCTGGGCGCCCCGGGACCCCCGCTGGGTGTCTGATTCTCCTTCGTCCCACTGAAGATTTTCCTTGTAGAAATGAGCCGTTTCCTCTGCGCTCCCCGGCGCATATTAATGCGCAGCTGGAATCGCCGCAGTACGTCTGTACTGCACTTTAAATAGTAGAGTAGGTAGTATCCCAAATTGTGTTGCGTTTTCAGCAGTCAGGTCGTTGTCATGGAAACGGCAGAGACCAGCGTTCTGTCGGTTCACTTCCAGCAGGGACTTCTACGATCTGTCTTTTTCTTTTAACTGGACCAATGTTGCTTCCCTCATGTGTGACGCTTTAACTGTATATTCTGCCATCCACCATCTCTGATGTGGTGTTTTATTGTGAGCAGTACAAGAGAAGCACAGTTATTCTGAAGCAATTAAACCTGGGTGACCAATCAATGGGCCAGACGGATGGGGGACAGAATTGGACAGCGCTGACAAAAGGTGACCTTTATGAAAAACGCTGCAAGGGTCCCATCGCTGTCCAGTCCTTGTTTATTCAGAGCAGAGTAGAGTATGCTCCTACAGAGTAGTAGGAGCAAGAGTAGAACTTAATAAACGTGCATACTCGTGGGATCAGAAGTATAAATACACGTGTCTGTGCTGAATATTTGAAACGGTTTCAATACTCATTTTGAACAGCATGGACACACTGGTACCTGCTGCGCTGCCTTTCTGCTGTCTCCAATGCCGACACACACACACACACAGTGCTACTTATCCTTTAATAAAGATCTCAGATTTTATGCCCTCAATGTTGTCTACACTTTTTCATATTTTTCATATATGGTTTTTCTAACCAGCTGTAAAAAAAAAGAAAAAGACTGAATATTTGAAAACGGTTTATTCATTATGGGATTCAGCACAATCTGCCTGCGTCCAACAACACCGACCTTCATGTTCAGCGTGTTTTTTCCAGCGAGAGTCCAAAAATACTAATTAGAGTGCTTTAATGGCACACACATCATCGCTTGGCGGATGTCAATTTGTCGCCAATCGTCACTGCGGCTCCTAGTGGATTATCGGGCTCGTGGGAGATTACCTTGAGTGGACGAGATCAGGCGGCAGCAGCAGCACAGGAGCATGAAGCAAGGAGAATTCCCAGCAGCCTTTGAGAAACTTCCATGTTCAATAAATATGCACAGAAACATGTCAAATCCATCTGCCGGCTGGCTGCAGAGTTGGTAGAGAATGTTTGGGAGATTTGTGCGTATTTTCATTTCATCTGTCTTATTAGGTATTTCTGTTCAGAGATATCTGAATATTTGATTATACTAATATCAACCTTTCAGAACGGGTCTTAAAAAATAATTAATCTGCATGAGACTCAAGCCAACAAATGTATAATACATTATGTCCAAAAGAATCCTGCGTAATGAGCCGTGAGTTTGGAAAAGACGACGTGTGGTAAAACACCGTGGTAGTTTTACCACGTTCGCGTCGCGGTGGCGACCAGGACGGATCAGCAGGGATCGGCCATGAACTCAAACGTCCCTTTGTTCGCTCTTTCCTTCATGTAGATGCCATTCAGCACCTTTCAGTGTGGCTGAAATCACCACTGCCGCTTGTACGTGTTGGGGAATTTATAACAGCTGGAAATCTTGTGGTTTTCTGTTTTCTGTTAATTTGTCAACTTGTCTAAACTAAATTATTCACTTTCTCATAAATTATTAATCTGGTCGTTATTTTTTTCTGATAGGTCCATTGATTGTTTAGTGGAGGAAATGTGAAGTATCCTATAGTATTCTATGAGCAACAATGAATCAGATTATTTAATGACACATTGCTACTTTCTTTAGCAATTGTACTTATGTGCTAAATCTAGTGCAAACGTATTTCTCTGTGCGACACGTAATGTGTGGTATTGAGTTGTTGACTTGTACATTTTTTGGACCAAATGAGTTCAGAAGAAATAAAAGAACCAACGTAGAAATATATATAAATAACTTAAAAAGGTATTAAAACATATCAGAGGCCTACTACAATAACATACAAGAGATGACAGTAAGTTTCAGACAAAAAAATGACATTGAATTGTTCATTTTCTTTGCCAAAGTGTTGAATCCTGGATTTAATCCAGTTTGTTTTTCCCCGTGTTTACATCACACACACACACACACACACACACACACACTCTTCAGTGACCAGGACAATACTGCCGATAAAACACTGAGCTGTGAAACCAGAAGCGAACCTTGTTGTTCACCCTCGTGCTTTGCATTATTGACGGCAGCTTGAGACATCGCTTTGTTACGCCGCTTCCATGACCCGGTCGCACACTGAAGAAACGCACAGCGAGAGGAGGTCGATCATCTCCTACGACCAGTTCAGGGTGACGTGAAGGACAATCGCCAGTGATGAATCGTTACTGCGTCAACGCTGAGACATCAAGGTGTATCAACGAGAGGCAGGAGCCGCTTTTGGCCATTTTACAGATATAAGGAATTGAAGACGGAGACGTTCTTCAGCAGCGAACGCACCTTTTGTCAGATGATGCGGTCCAACATGTGTGCTCTGCTCAGTCAAAGGGACAGATGACATGAAAGACAACAAAATTATGCCAATTTTGTGCGCACACAGCGCTTGAGTTAGGATCCGGTTAGCCTAGCTTAGCATCACGACTGGAAGCCGACGACGCAGATCTCTCTCTACTCCAAAATACCATCTCCAACACCTTTAAAGCAAACCAACACATTGTTTTGTAATAAAAGCTACTTGTTAGAGAGGTTTGTTGCAGTTTGCTAGACGTTGTTCCCAAAGAATTAGTGTGAGTTGCAGTCTTCGCTAGCTTTATGCTAACAACACCGTGATACATGCTTCGTACTAACAATGAAAAATGTCCATCTTCTTTGTTTTGTGCAATACGAGTTGTCTTAACAGAGAGCCTCGTTTGTACAGTAATTATATCACAGTAACAGTTCATTTGACAAGGATGTATTAATGATTAAAATGCCAAATTATTCACTCGGCACTTCAGCAACAAGATGCTTTTTTTGTTTGTTTTTTTTACATTACATTACAGGCCAAGACGTCCCAACAAGAAGCCAGCCAGGGGTCTTGAATCATGCAGCTCCTATAGAGTCCGTGTCCAGCGGGACAGACGGCACAACCCGTGCTGTCGCTGGTTAGCAAAGACATGGCGTCTCCGATCCGCTGCTCGGCCCCTCCTCTCACACCTCAATGACCACGGTGTCTTTCCGATGTTTGGGCTCATTGGCGAGGTGTGGTTTCTCCGTGCGAGTGTGCCAAACAAGAACCTGAAAAAGAAAAGAAAGAAAAAGTGTGTGAGCGGGAAACAGCTGACGGGGGAAATGGCGGCACTAATGAAAGCAAGAACAGGCCGGTGTGCTTGGATAAGTACTTCACAGACGCAGGTGGACAAAGCTTCACTAACACGGTTGATGTTTTTGGGCGGATTAAAGACATTTTGTTTGTAGAAAAAGGTAAAAAAAAAAGATGAAAGCCATACTGAGAATTGCTGTTTGAAGGATCATTTAGCTCTTTTACAATATGGGTCTCATTTTCTCTCTCACCCGTAATTATGAGATTGTACTTGAATACTCATTCAAGTTGAAGGTATCGTTCCCGGAGGCTTTTCAACACTCGCAGTGCTTTGGAACGATGTTTTTGCTTAAGTCTCCCCGGCATGTTTGTACCTGACGCACACTGCAGATATTTCACATCATCACAAAAAATAAATGTCATAGTGCTGAAAGTGAAATTCTGTTTGTGATTCTGTTCAAACCTTTGTTTGATAGTTTAAAAGTATTTTTATTTTGTCATTGTCTTGGGGAAGTAGCATTTATCACTGTGAACTTTGTCTTCACCGGTAATAGAAATAATTAAGCAGATGCAGCAACACAGAGACCAGAGCTGAATCTGTTCTACAGCATAAAGCTGTTATGTGGACAAAACAGACCTGTGTCCTGCTGGATAACATTACACAGACTCACCCCCTCAAGCTAAATAGAGAAGGAACCTCCATTACATCATAGGTGACCTATTTGAAAGTATTACAACTATTACAATTTATGTGTGGATTTTGCCTGTGCCTTGAAATCCGTAGTATTTCTGAGCTTCACAAGCTCTTTAGATGACCTCTCATTTTACTGTCCACCCCACTCGGTCATGGTTCCGGTTCTCCCATGGTTCAGTGTGGACTGCTGGAGTCGGAGCTGAAGGAGTTTCTGGTGAACCTGAATGACTTCATCAGATTTTCACAGGATCTGACGCACCAATGACGAGCATTAGGAATAAAAATCAGTCAACGCAGATACACACCTTCCAGTACTTACACACCTTACTGTTTATACTGTATATACACTATATATCTGGCATTTCATTTCACACTGACCATATTGTTATACTACTTGTACTATAAGACACAGGCTTTTGGTATTTCCCTTTGTTGCAATTACCTTTTGAAGTAAAGGCTTCATTTGTTGATGATACTCTGATGAAATATCTGTCAAATGAAAGACATTTCTTTGAGACACACATTTGCACATGCATCCTCCTGCTGTTGAATTTGAAGCTGGCTGGCGTGCCAGGAGGGATTCCGTTCACCGGGCAGAAACAAGTCTGACACCTCCGGAAAATAAAATTGCATCAAAAGTGGCACGCTGCAGCCGCTTGTCTTTTGTTTGCAGCCAATTTCACAGCGACGTATTGGTGAGAAAATGGATGCAGAGATTCATCCTTTTTTATTTTAGGGACGCATTTCATTCCCCAGGGATTTTAGGAGGGTTGTTTGGAGGAGACCATTGGCTAATGAGCTTATAATTCACGCTTGTGGCATTTGTGTGTCCAGAGAAAAACACACACACACACACACACACACACACACGCACACGCATGATTTATTGCTGTCGGCTGCCGTTTCCGGGCTTCTTCAGGTGGAACATGTCCCCTTCCTGCACACTGTGCTGCTAATCGGCCCGGTTTGCATATCTAACGAGGCTAATGTAGCAGCCACTTAAGCGTCACTCGAGAACTTTGAGGAAAAAGGTGCATGGCGTGTGTGGAGATCCACACTTGCTAATCAGGGTGCCCCCCCCGCCCCCCTCTCCACTTCCCTTATTCATCACGTCACACTATTTCTTTTCCCTGATGGCTTTGCTCATGTTTTTTTCTTTTACCTCTCTATCCTCCTTCCTGCTCTATCTTCCACTTTCCCCCTGAGGCAAAGTGGAGACGAAAAGCTTTAGTAGGTTAGAGCATTTTTATTTATTTATTCGCCTTAATAGCATTCAGAGAGAGCGGATTGGCCTGTTCCTCCACATCAGGAGGAATCGTTTGTGGGGATGCAGTTGAAGGATGTGCAGATGGCCCAGCGTTTGTATTGGTGGTATATTTGTTGTCATTTATGTTAGAAATATTAGTAAAAATCCAGTTTCCTCAATTTTAGGACAACAAATTGGTCATGCACATCATTTTCATCTGCTATAGATTATTGCTATATTCACACAATGGAATTGCAGTGAATGCCAGACAGCTATTCTCTCTCTCAAGTGCTGGCCAACGTCGTTGCTGAGATCTGGGAAGATTTTCTAAAAGCTCTTTATTCGCAAGAACAGATGTGCACAATCTGCAGCAATTACGGTGTTCAGTCAGTAAAAACTATCATGGAGAGTTTGGAGGGTGATTATACTGTTAGTTTAGCTGAGAATTGGTTTTAAACCTACGCTTTTTTATTATTTATGGTAAGACTTTAACTTGGTGAGGGCACTTTTCAATGTGAAAGGGATAAAAATTAAAATGATTTTCAATATTTTCAAAATAATTAATTATTTATAATGTTGTCACTATGATCCTCGGCCTATTTTGGCCAATTACTCTCTTTGCTAATGCAAGATTGTGAAGTGTGTGGTGCTAAATAATCATGACCCTAAGCACTAAAGTCACCTGCCACCGCAGAACTCTCACCTTCCCAGTACCTTCAATTTAAAAGTTCTGAGAATACATTTTTAATCTCGAGACCATAACGCGCTTAACTTCCATTTGCAAATGCACTCTAGATGCTTTCAGGATCGGATGACATAAATCAGATTTTGTGGAGGTCAGGGATGCATTTAGCAACAATAATAGAATAAATTCACAGACACCTGAGAGCCAAAAAATAAAATACACAGCGCTGTAGTCTTTGAGTCCGTGGCGGCGTACGTCCCTTCGCTTTTTCTTGCAACTCCATTTCCAGTCACTGGAACTATACCTCGTCTCTCTACGCAGGCTTTTACTCAGCCTCCTCTCTGACTCACTTCTCTGTCTCCTTTCCCTCCTGTGCTATAATCTATCTCCATCTGTTCCGCCCCCCCCTCTCCTTTGTTGTCCTGTCACTGCTGTCTGTTGCCATTACTCTCCTGCTCTAACTACATTACAGCGCCTGTCAGTCGTCTGCAGATAGTGACCCGGCCGTCGGATGAGCGCCTCTGCCCTCCGTTGCCAAGGTCGGGATTTCGGCTTTGTGATTTGATCCCAGATGCTTCCCTCCAATTGGATGGAACCTGAAGCTGCGGCGTGCAACAGCTGCTGCAGAGGGCTTTTATATCCTATCATGTCAACCACATTTGGGGTCAATACGCGTATCTTGTAACAAAAAAGGAGTAACAATAACTGCAGTAACTTGACTAATGGTCAACGCACCGAGCACACAGAGCTGCCGGAGTGGTGTCACGTCTTCTAACTGATGGTGTCACGTCTTGCCGCTCTTGCAACTGTGATACGTGATTAATGCTGATTTTGCATCCTCTGGTCCAAGCGGTGCTGGGCGCTGACTGATGATGTCACAGCTCGCTAATGGCCTGTATTAATATCGGCGGCAGGGCCCCTCCATTAGTGTAATGGGGCTGATAATGATGATGGTAGTTTCAACACAGAGCTGTCTGCAGCAGCAGCAGTCGGCTGTAAATGATGATCCGGCAAACCCGGGAGGGGGGCCGGGGGGTGTGGCACATCCAGTTAAACCGTAAACAGAGATTCTAGATAAAGCTGCACTTTTTTTCGCCACTGAGAAGGAAAATATTGTTTGCGTTGAATTTTGTAGGTAACTGGGAGGCATTGAATGAAACCGTGCTGCTGCAGTGTCCGTCTGCAAACTCAAAATTCTCCATCACTTAATGTTGGGATCTTGCCTTCGCTTTTCTCTTTTCTCTCATTTTTACAATTTACACTAAAAAAAATTGAGGACTTGGACATGTTAGTGAGACATGTTTGTTTGTTTGTTATGTTGCATACGTGGAACATTTCTGATGATCGTCTATAACAAGCCATGACCAACGAATACAGGCTGCACTACACGAGTAGGTGAAATGAGATGAGGATTCTGTAACAGTCTATGAGTCACACTTGTTACTAATATTGCCTTGTGTAGTGTCGGTTAGACTTGTTATGAAACAAAAAAAAAAGAAGCAAAAAAAGCTGTAAATTGACGACTCTGCGACTGTTTGAAGCAAACAGGGACCCGGCGTTTAGTTCACGTATTCTTTTAACAGTAGAGGTGTAATGGAATCCATTCCTCACAGAAGTCCCTGTGACGGTTGTCAAGGGGATGAGTGGCTTCATAAAGCCGAGTGCCAACAGGGGCCGTGGTGACTTGAGATGAGCTGCATCGATCTGAGCTGTCTAAAGTCACAACTAGAATTGATGGCGCTATAACGCCGGTTATATCCAATCCCTGCTCTGGATGTCTAAGTTGAGCCCGAGCCACCCGCTTAAAGCATGACTCATGCTGTCAATAGTGGGGAGAGATACCCCAGGGTTAGTTACTGCTTGGACAGCAGCCATTATTATGAGTGCAGTTTAATATTTGCCACACAGACAAACACACAAGACGGATGAGCTGGGCTTTTATTAAACCCGAGTCTTTGCCTTCCACCTCCAGTATGTAGGTTGCAGTCTGATAACTTATGCTTATGATATAAACGAGCGACCGTTCCCTGCTTATTCAGCGGTGGCGACTGTGAGGACGTTGGTTAAAACACAAGGGAAGGTGCATTTGTACCGGTTTGTTGAGCTCTCAGAATATTGAGCTGAACAGCATCTACACCTTTGGAGGTCAGTGTCCTCGACTAGAGCGTGAAGCTGTGAGCCGCACACACGTGGACCCAAACTGTCGTCAGAAGCGTTTCCATCTGTTGCCATGGCGTCAAGCGTCGCCCCGGTCGCTCACCTGGGTGCAATTGTTGGCCTTGGGCTCCAACTCGGTGACCTTGGTGATCTGCTTGAGGAAGTCGGACTCCTGCATCCCCGGCTGGGAGCCGCGCCGCTTGAACTGCGCCCGCGGGTTCGCCAGGATCACCTGGAGGTTCACTGCAAAACCTGAGAGGGAAGGAGAGGAGGAGTGTGGGGAGGGAGGGAGAAAGGGAGAGGGAGGTTAGCCAGCATGGATTAAAAGCACATTACGAGTCAATTATAATCACAGCAGAAAATGATAGAGTGCATTAGTGTATCTAATGACTGTGGTATGGCTGAGATGAAATCCCTTTACCACAGAGCTTTCTCCTCTGATTATTGTGCGAGAGACGAGAAGGGGAAGCATGAGGAAGTCAGAGGGAAGTCAAAGAGCTCATGATGCCAGCGTGTTGTAGCAGAGGTGGGGATTAATGGCTGGTTTGGAACCAGATTTAATCAACCTGATTAGAAACAGGGGAAAAGGGGAGAATAATTGCCAGGAAAGACATTAACTGTCCTCAAGTAGAACCAGAAATATGTGGAAAGATTCCAATTTAAGATTGATGTTCAAATCATTTTTCCACGAGCCAAATAATCCACGTGTTTGCTTTCTGCACTTTGAAGCCAAATGAAATAAACACAAACGCTTCCGCTGACCTCTGCTACTGCTGCCCTGAACCTTCAACTCCCGTCAACATGTGAGCGAGGAACACGTCGTTCGCACATCCGATGTGATGTCCGACCCCGCAGCCAGGGGTCAGGCAGTAACACCCCACGTGTCTCTTTAACATCTTTTTGCCTCTAACTCTGCAGCCAACCCCTCACTGACACGGAAAAGTGCCCCGAGCGCCAAGTAGAAAACAGAGATCCTTGGATTTTCAGATGGAATTGGTGTCAGAGAGGTAGTTTGTGTCAGATGTGCAGCTAAAGCGTCCCCGTCGCTTTGCTGGCCTCGGTTCTGCTGTCAGTCTGCGGTTGGGCCGCACTAAACGTGTCACAGCGAAGTGAAGTCGCTCTGTATTAACTGTATTAAACTGTATTAAAGACTCTGAACTCTAAATGCCTCAAGTTGTTAGTAAAACACTCGGGACTGATGGTTGTCGGACAAGTATTGAGTTGTGTGTAGAACCTGCTGTTCAATTAGCTGGCAGGGCCACTAGTAGTGCACACAACAATCACTGCACTCATTCAGGCTCATTACCTGTAATGAGACGAATCAGCAGCAGCGTAAACGCCACCTACATGTAACTCCATTTAGAAAACGACTAGAATTGAGAAATGTATATTTTGGACTAAATTCCTTGTTAATGATAATGCAACTAAAGGATTGACCATTATCGTGTCTGCATCAATCAAATGGGAAGCACACAAGAAAGTCTTGTATTTACAGGAGCAATTAAAAAAATTTTTTCATTATTCGGGGCTTTAGCGAACCCTTACAAGGGAACCAGAGAAATGATTTATTGTTGGTCTTGTCTATACAATAATGACTATTATCAGGAACCTATGGACAGCGCCAAAGCATCCAACGTGCAGTAAAGCGTTTTTTTAGGATGTAAGCTGTTCCTTTAAACATGCACGTGTAAACGCACATGTTTAAACACGCCGGACTTTGCCATCTCGGGTGTCGGAGCTGTAAAGAAATACCTGAAAATCACCAAACATGATCGTCTTCATGAAGCAATCTGCTTTTCCATTTTCATGCACATCGAGGAGAAACCAAAACTGACTTATTATCAGTCCGAGGACACGTTGCCGTATTTTATAGTGTAAAGCGTGTGTCCTTAAATATCCCATCCAAACAGCAAAATAAAGGTGTAGGTGTAGTTCTTTTCAAGCGGTGGAGCATTTCTCGAGGGAGCCTGAAGTTTCTAGTTCACAGCACGACAGGAGATATTTTCGGAAAATGGTGCGCTCCTCCACGCATCGGGTCTCAGCATAATTACTCATTATTTATTTATGCAAATCGTTGGTGGGTGGCACGCCTTGGCAATTAGTACTGCCGGTGAATTACCCCCCCCAGTAGTTCCACCACCCTCGCCTCCTTTTTCTCTGCCCCCCTCTGGGAGAACGGCCTTTCCTGAGCGTCGGTGGTCCTCTGAGTAATGTGGGTGTCAGAAACCAACTGTGCGCATGCTTATTCTTTTGGCTTATCATCACAGCGGGAAAAACTATTTTATTATTAGCATAATATTGCACATTTTTCACAGTAAATATATTTCTATACGGTGCTATAGGCCTGTCTCTTGAAACCGCTCTTTGCTTCTACCCATCATGCAACGCTGCTGGCGACAGCTTGGTAACGAGACACCATTTTATAGGTTGAGACCAAACCAGCTGAGAATAATTTGCAGTGACAAGGGGCAGGATTGCTTTCTAATTACTGATAGATTTCAGCTGGTGTCTTTCGATGACTTTTTGCTCCTTCCATTATTCATGTGTTGGATACTTTTTCCCCGCGTCATTGCATTTTATTGTGCCTAACTTAATTCCGGATTTATTTGTTTGGTTTTCTTTGTGTGTATGGATTATGTGGGTTGTTAATGTAAAAATGTCAGTTATTTCAATACCACCTATATAAAATATATTTCATGGGACTCCTCACTACTTATACCGCTGTAAGTGTGATGATAAGCCAAACTCATCCTTAACTGGACCGCATGTCCAGTTGGTTTCTGACAGCCGCATTACTCAAGAGGACAACTGAACCTCACAGGAGACTGATCTGTCAGAGCGGGGCAGAGAGAAGAGGGGTGAGGGTGTAGCAGTACCAATCGCCAATACGTCCCACCCACTGAGGATTTGCATGAATAAATAACCACATTTATAACGAGGGACTTTTAGAAAAATATTTGCTGAAATAAATGCACGTTCAATACTTAATTTACCCGCTGCACAGATAGACCCAGGTCTGCTAAATCCTAAGGGAGTACAACCATCACAAACACATCATCCACGGATATACGGTTCATACCAATGTGACTGAGAGCAAATGAGAAGACTCTCGCAGGGATTACAGACTGAAGGTCATCCTGGCACTGATAACCACTTTATTTTAGTAGCACAACAACGCAAGCCAAATGCATCCTTTTTGCACATCTTTCCCACATCCAGTGAGCCAAACTACTGCCTCCTCCCCCCCAAAAAATCTTACAATTTTAAGGTACAAAAAGCTCAAATGCTACAAGCAAACCTCCGTTGCATAATTGCTCCGTGCAGAATCACACAGACCCGGTGTTGGGTTACGCTGGTGTCATGACTGCTCTGCGGGCGATACTGCAGGCTAATCACAGAGATGACTGCAGCTCAGGTGGAGAGGATAGATATGAGAGCAATTACAAGATAGGCATCTTCTATCCCGCAGGCGACATGGAGATCACAGCTTATCCAAGCCATGTTTGCCCAAGAGGCTACTTTGCAGACTCAACATAGGGCCACTATGCACCTGAGTCACTCTGAATGACCTACATGCGGGTGTGTGGCTACTCAAGGCTACAGTTTCCTATCTTAGAGAAAGAGAAGTTGCCTGCGGTAATAAGTGAACATATTTTACAAATGTCATGATTTGCATGCTCATGTTTGGTTTTCTGTATAAATTGTGTGACTTATTTAAATCTCGGATGCTACGTTATGCTGGTAGCGGCTAATGGAGCTTCAATACCAGAACCTCCACCTGAGCCCCAAAGGGCCAGAACCAACTTCCAAAGAATACTGTGGCTACAATATCCACTTATCCGTTTGAAAATACTCAAAACCTCCACAAGTTATAAAATATAATACGCAAGTTAGTCTAGAAAATGTGTAACAAAGAAAACGAGTTTCTAGCAGAGACGATGCTGAAGACACTGATACTTATATCAGCGTCTTCAGCGTCGTCTCTGCTATCGACTTGTTTTTCTTTGTTACACATTTTCTGGACAAAATAACCACCAAACATATGAATAAATGTCCCTTACATTTGAAATTTTGAATTAAGTTTAGTTGGTTAGTAGTTAGTTGACCCTCTGTCACCAGTTCATGTCACACCACAGTGTGACAGTCCGCTGAGATGCCCTTCAAGAAACGTATATATCTGCTACTCTGACTGACACGTTTCTGTTTTGGTTAAATCAATTCAACTGTAAATCTACGGAGAAAAAAAGTACCACCCACATGGTTTGAATGACGCGACCAAAAAAGGACTCAGCTGAGTTTTTTGCCCTGGATGAGTTCAGGTGAACCCGTCTGGCAATGGGCGGTCCACGCAGTCGAGCGGGCCACCCGTAATGGGGGAACGGTCCTCCCGGGGATTCCAGCCGGGGTTCCAGCCGGGTACCTGTTTTACTCTGTCTCCCCTTCCGGAGCCCTCAGTAGGCATCTGGGTCGCCGCTCTCACCATCCGCCGCCCACCACGTGGTCTCCAGAGGAGGAGGCCATTTCGTGGTCGTCCGGCGGAGATACTCACTGGGAGTGGGTGATGGACCTTGCGGTCCATCTACGCTCTCCACACTCGGCCGCAGTGCGCATGTCCAGCGATGGGCCGCACCAGCTTCCCGTCCCGGCCTCCCGATCCAAGTCCATGACCCCCGAGCCGACGCCACGATCAAGGTCTATGACCCCCGAGCCGACGGCACCTTCCATGCCCCCGACCCCGGTACCGGCTCCACGATCCATGCCCCCGGCCCCACGATCCATGCCCCCGTCTCGGCCTGTACTGGCCCCGAGACTCATGGCCCCGACTCGGCCTGTACCGGCCCCGAGACTCAGCCCCGACGCCTCCAGTACCCGCTCCGAGACTCATGACCCCGACGCCTCAGTCCCCGCTCCGAGACTCAGGCTCCTTCCCTCCCATCCCGTGGTCTTCTCCCATTCCTTCCTTGAGGGGTTCCTTGAGGGGTGGGTGGGGGGGAATGAGCCGGCGACTGCGGAGGTGTTCCGTGTCCCTGAGCCGCCGACTGCGGAGGTGTTCCGTGTCCCCGAGCCGCCGACTGCGGGAGGTGTTCCGTGTCCCCGAGCCGCCGACTGTGGAGGTGTTCCGTGTCCCCGAGCCGACGCCACCGACTGCGGAGGTATTCCGTGTCCCTGAGCCACCGACGACTCCGGAGGTTTCCCGTGTCCCCGAGCCAGCCATTCCAGAGACGTTCTGTGCCCTGCAGTCGCCGCTCCGGAGCCGGCCAAATGACCGTCCGCCGGGCCGACCCCCGGAGGCTCCCCGGCCGTGTGCCTGTCCACCGGGCCGACGCCCAGAGGCTCCCCGGTCGTCTGGCCGCCCGCCGGGCCGCCCGCCAGAGTTTCCCGGGCGGTCCGACCAACGTCTCTGGTTCCCCTCCCTCCCACCCCTTGTCCGCTCTCTGCTAGTGTGAGCCGTCTGGAATTCGGCCCTTAAGGGGGGGGGTACTGTCACGGTGTGGCTTTATTTCCTGTCTTATTTTGCAGTTTTCTGCTTCTTGTCTCCCTGGGTAACTTCACTTCCTGCCTTGTCCTGTCATCGTCTGTGATTGTCTGATTGTTTCCACCTGTGTCCAATCACCTGCACCTCCCTAGTGTATTTAAGCGTTGTGTGCCTCCTGTCACTTGTCGCGTCATTGACTTTTGTCCTGGATGTGCCTCGTTCCTGCCTGCCTTTTTTCCCCCGGTTTGTGTGTGTTTTTGCCCGTTGGCCTTTTACTTTGTTGGAGATTTGACTATTAAAGTCTCTTTTGTTTAAAAATTGAGTCCTGCCTCCCCACACAACCCATACGTCATTTTCCACTGGAATGGCCTCATTTGCAAATTTCAGGATGTTATTTTGACAGTACAGACCTTCATATCTTATCTGAATTAAAAGAAATATATAAACCACGTGGGGAGCACGGAATAGTAGTTGTTAGTCAGAGAACTGGGGTTTAAAACCAAAAATCGAAATATTTTCCAGAAATCTGCTCCCTTTATCACAGAAACTTGCTTGTGTAGCATTGTATTTTTAGTGTGACAATGCTCCCACACAACTGACTAAATACGGAAAGTCTGACCTTGAATTGCCATTATTTGTAAGTAGCAGCATGCTAGCCGGTTTATTTTATTGACACAAACCAGAAAACAACTTCTTCATGGCCTTCGTCTCGCGTTTCAATATATATATATATGATATATGGTCGCTTACTTTCATTGATTGCCAAAAGCCAACAGTGAGCCCTAACTCACGATGGCGACGGCCAAAACGCCAAATTCGGGACTTCAGAACGGAAGTCTACAAACCCATTATATATAGTCTTTTTTTCTCTACCTGAGTTCACTCCCACTGCAGTACTTCAGTGCAGGAGGACCTTTAACTGCTCCTGCACGCTGCTTCTATCCTCCTCTCATCTCACCAGCTCAGGAGCAGGCAATAAACACTGCAGCCTACTGTGGGTGATACACGTTCATGTCCCGATCCCAGGGAACACTCCAAAAGCTAAAAGTACCACTTCAACCGGGGCACAGCCGCGTTGTACTAGCGTGGCTGTGCCCCGGTGCAAACACATACGCATGCACCTTTTTGCAAAGATGCCGCTCTAATGCGCTAAATATGTTTACGTCTGTCTGTCTGTCTGTCTGTGTCTCGTTTCAAGTGCTGGCAGGTGTGCGCTAAGATGCGAATAGATGCGTGATGTAGTGGGTGTGTGTGTGGGCGTGACTATAACAACATAGAGACACACACACACACACACACTGTGGTCCTCTTGGCCGTCATTGTCTGGGCTTCATTGTGTCTGGCTGAATGAGACAGGCAGGAGATGGGGGGGCTTAAGGGGTCTGCTAACAATACAGCGCTGTATAACACAATACTATTAGGACATGCACTGGCACTCACTCCGCGCGCTGCAGACACCCCATTGTACCCCATGAATAATAATATAAGAGTGGAAGCAGTTCGGGCCTTTTGCACACAGCGGCCATTGTTGTTCTTGCATTGTTTAAAAGAAGAAAAAAAAGAAAATGTGAAAGAAAGCGCAGCCACGGTGGTAAATCTTAGCGGTGTAAATTGACAGTGTAATTATGTAGTGCAGTGTTAGTAAGGTTGATAATCACAGTGTGTGTGTGCGTGTGCACATGCACGTTTAGGTGCAATGGGTTGGTTGGTCAGAGGGTGAAGGAGGTGAGATCTCAGGCCTCGTGGCACAGGAGGAGGTGGAGGAGACATTAAAAAAAAAGAGAGTAAAGCTGCCACTTGTTATAATTGCTTAAAGGATTAAAAATACCAACACTGCCAAAGCTCCTATAGAAAGGTGTTGTATCTATGTTGATACCTTTTTTTTTTCGCCGGCCCGTCACGGCGGTAGATCAGATCCAGGATGTAACTTAAAACCCTTTTTGTTTTATGCTGAGCTGATTGCATACTGGCTCAGGCTACTGAGACACTAGGGCGGATTTGGTTTAGTCAGCTAATTCATGTGACACTTATACCAACTAATTTGTGTCACAGTTTGGGTTCACATCCTGTTTTATTTTGTAGTTTTCATGCCACTCGTGTCCCCAGGTAACTTCCCTTCCTGCCTTGTCCTGTCATCCCCTGTGATTGTCTGATTGTTTCCACCTGTGTCCAATCACCTGCAGCTTCCCAGTGTATTTAAGCCGTGTGTGTCTCTTGTCGCATTGTTGAATGTACCGAATGTTCACATCTGAGTTCCCGGCTACGTTTTGCCCCCTTGGAATTTTGCTTTTTGGAATTCTTGACTATTGAAGTATTTTTGTTTCGAAACTCTGCGTTTGAGTCCTGCTTTCCCCAATGCCTGACAATTTGGACCGGTGGCTGTGGGGGCGATTGGGCCCAACGGGTCAATCCAAAAGGATTCACAGAACCTCTGACAAGTATTTATCTTTCCAAGTGTGCTGCCAATTTTAAAACTGTGCCCATGGGCAACAAAATGTCCTTTCCTGAATAAATCGGGATGAAATGAAACCAACTACAATCAAAGCATTTATTGACTTGGACTTTGGCAAAATTCCAACGTAGAAATTACCATAAATATAGTTATTGTGGCATGCTGTAGAAAACAATAGTAACAACAATTGAAATGTAATAGAATTGTTCATGAATAAATGATACACCTCTTAAAAGAGGCAGAAGAGAAAGTGTTACTTTACGCTGAGAATTTAAGAGCGCAGAGTAGACTTTTCTGGCTTCATATTGAGGCTTTGGGAACAACACGTTGTAGTCAAAACACACATAACTGCGAGATTCTTCCGGCCTCCGACTGCTGAGTTCCTCCTATTCGGATCCCATGTAATCCGTCGCTTCTCAGAAACGCTTAATTCAACGTGACTGCAATACTGCGTCGTGATTTATTTCTGGAATAAACAATCAAGCCGAGTAGCGCGGAAGCTCCTGTGCGGAGGAGCAACAGTCAGCATATTAAATTGGAAAGATCACATCTCATTTTATGGTGAATTAAGCCCTGAAATAAACAGAGCCTCAATAGAAAGAGCTGCGCAATCTCTCCAGGTGAACTAACAGAAGGAAGAAAGGTCTCTGCTCCGATAAAAGCCGGTAGACCGTGAGCTGGTTTGTGATCACCGAGCTGACTGATTACATATTTTGACGTTTCCACAAAGCATCAAGAACTGAAATCAAGGAACTGCTTTTCCGCCAAAGTGTTCAAACGCCTCAGTGAACAGGCGGGGAGCCCCCGCAAGGTTTCACCGCAGCATCGCGCGGCGAAACAACACAAGCACGGCGTGTAGCCTCGTCAGGGGCCGTCCCTTACCTGCCATGTCGGTGGCGAAGGGTCGGTCCGGTCTCCAGCCGGTGTACCAGCCCACCACTTTACCCCCGGACACCAAGGGCCGCTCGTACGCTCTTCCGCCCACAAATCCCACCGGCCAAACAGAAACACCTCGAGTACTACGCATCTGGAAGGAGAAGCAAGACGGAAAGTTTTTAGTGGAAGTAAGCGTTACAGAAGCTCGATAAGCACACATCCTTTTCAACGGCAACGCCATTTAAAATGTGTGTTATTCAGGCTGATCCACGTGCAGTTTTTCCCGCCAATCACAATGTGAGTTCTGCTCAAGTATGCTGGACGTCAGGTCGTGTGTGATTTTGCACGATTGGTAGAGAAGCGCTGTGGCGGATTTGCACACAGCTGAAAGGTGGGAGATTAAAGGTGGAGAAGGTGTGTGAGGACGGTACAATTTTCGGTGTTGAGATATCTGTATCTGTGTGTGTGTGTGTGTGTGTGTGTGTGTGTGTGTGTGTGTGTGTGTGCATGGTTCTGTGTGTTTGCGACCCAGCCACCCTGAAGCCCGCCCACTCAGACGGTGCAGCCTCATCACTCACCCACACAGCCTGCAGTCACTCACCCACGTCAAAACTACAGAACAAAACCAAACGGGGAAGCAGATCTGCTCGGAACATCACACCGACTTTCAGCTTTTAAGGCAAGGAAATGCTGGAACACAGTTTAAGTGAACGTGCAGCATAAAGTAATTTCCATCAGGAGCGACAAGTTAGATAAGAAGACAATTGTTTATATTAATAAATGGTGTGTGATGATAAAGTCCTCCTCCTCTTGGCGCTTAGACTCTACGGGGAGATTTCTAATCGATGGAGCAGCAGCGAGATGAATCCCCCAGTGGACCTGGTGCTGATGAGGCTGGTAGCATGACGAGTTGGGTGGAGGGTGGAGGAGGGGGTAGAAACAGCAGGATGGACGTGCCGAAGGCAGAGAAAAAGATAGCAGCAAGATCACAGGCTAGCGATGCAATTGTTTTGTTGGGCTTATTGGATAGTAAATACCAGCGGATCTAATCAGCCGATGTCCTGATTGACAGCCTCGAACAACGAGCGCAAGGTATTAACGAGTGAGCGAGGAGTTATTGGCAGACGTATGAGAAACAAGCTACGGCCGTAGGCAGGCTGCAGTATAGTCTTCCTGATTGAGCTTGCACTAGAGCTTTATGAGCGACTGCACCGGCCTCTAGTAAACGCGTCAACTACCACGCTAATGCACAAGACACAATGAGCAAAATGAAGTGAGCATCTGAGCTAAACTGCACAGAGAGTTAACTTTTGGTCTCTGCAAAATTGAACCAACTTGGATTAGAAATCTGTTTGCCGCTACTCAAAAACAAAAAGGCCCTGGGAGAGAAGAAGCTTCCCTTGATCAACAATGCAGTTTTTGTTCCAGGAGAGAAAACAGTGTTGAAACCCTAAACACCTTCAGGACTGAGTTAAGTACCGACGCAAGGTTTTGCATCAAATCCACAGCACGACGGCTAAAGTCTGCACCGGAGAACACGATCACATCGCCATGCAGATCAGGTCGCCTTGTTGTTTGGCGTCGTAAATCTGATGCCCGATAAAAGGTCTGTAACTGAAACTGTGCGCATCTAACAAAAATCATTGCTGGCAGTGTGCAGGGTTTTAATTTTCCTACGCAGCTGTCCACCAGGTGGGCAATCGACAACACTTAGTTTGAATAGGTAAATGCCGAAATGATCCAACCCTAAATCGTTTGATCTATGCAGGGAAAATGTGCTTGTGGACAGACGGACTTCGGACGTGGCGCCAAAGGGAAGGCTGCTCAAACACTGTAGAGAATGAGACCTAATAACATCATGAGATCATATCCAGCTTCACCAAAAAAAACACATCAAACACCGGGTTATATTAACCGCGACAAAAGAAAAGCTCCCTTTGGTCCTACTGTGTGATTGTTTTGCCCCCCTCCAAAATAAAGAGCCACAGAAAAGGCATGCAAACCAAATCCGAATCTTACTGAGTAGTAGCTGGAGTGTTTTACCACCTGAAGCAAAGTAGTGTCAGTATATATCAGCTACATTAAACAACAAAACATGGACATGTTGATTGTTCCATCCATAAATCTAAGTGAAATACTTGGAAAGTACAAGGTCATCAAAAACAAGGCAATATGTTTCATCAACGTAAGGAGTTAAAACCACATGTGGGTTGAATAAAACTATGGAAGGGGCATAACTGAAGTGTGGAAATGTGGTTAGCTACTCATTAAGCCTGGAAGCAGTTACCTCAGTGCATGAAGGCTGCTAACAAGCGGAATCCCCGTTGTTAAAGCAATGAGATGAAGAACATGTATTTATCAAACTGACAGCGATGAGGGCGTCTCTTTCTTTGCTATCGGGTCTCTTCCCTCCTCTTCGTCTGCCCCGTTACCCTCACGCTCTGTTCTGCCCCCGAGCAGAACCAGAAGCTTTGAAGCCCCGTCCCTGATAATTCAATGGCCCCTCGAGTCTGACTGTGTGACGCTAAAACACTTCCCCCTCGTTTCTCTTTTGCTGCTGACTGCCTTTTTATCCCAGGTCATTTTTTTTCAAAGACTATTTCTGCTTTGTAAAAAAAAAAAGAAAAAGATGAAAAGGAGAGAAGAAGGACGAAAAGAGAGGCTGAGTTTCCCAGATCATTCCTGGAGTACGATCGTTATTGTTGCTCAGCGGATAAGTCACAGTTTGACTGCTAATGATCCCTCAGAGCTCAGCACAGTTTGCTTTGACAGGATGGAAACTGGGGCCCTCAGTACTCAAACATCCACACCACAAATCTTGACTGTAGTTCACGTTTGTAGGTTAAAGGAGTGATGACGTTTTACTTTAAACTTACGTGACTATACGTTGAATCCAATGACGGCACGATGTTCATTTAGTGATTCATGGTCCATTTAGAGTCAAACAGAAGATTCCTTTAGGGCGTGTGTTGTGAAAACTCAAATAGTGTTTTCCCTTTGTTGAGTTTTTGACCTTTTGAACTGACACGTAGTGTTTTGGGATAAACAGCCGTTCAGGATGGTTTCATCAGGCAGGAACGGGAACAGGAACAGGTGGAGGGACTCCAGGAACTCGTATTCTGAGGTCATATTGACGCGTCTCTTCCATCTCCTTCAGTCATCAATCACTTTGCCCTCTCTCTCTCTTGATGTGACCAGTGGGAGCTGATCCAGATGGGGGGGGGCACAGATGTCTGTCACCTTAGACCAGATGTGCCATCATAGGTTGATCGGCTGCCATTGAAAAGAAAATCCCGACGGGTCACCACGCATGCTGTACTCAAGATCAAAATCAGAGTTGGCAAGTTGTTGATTCAACCAAACAGATGCTGATGGCGGATTGAAGGAGCAAGATGTCAATAATCCATCGTTAAAATGACACCTGCCTCGGATGAAGGCCGGCGGAGCGTCTCCAGAGTGCATTTAAAACATCCATCGACAGCACATGTCACTCCCAACCCGCTTTGTTGTCTTTAGAGCTTTTATTTCTCCATCATAACTCGTCTGTGACGAGGCTGCGTAGCTATAAGTGTGTAGTTTAGCTTCAGTTCAATCAACCTTTTAACGTATTGACAGGACTTTTCTTCGTGTGATATATTAAAATATGAAACCAGCTGAGGTTTGATCTGATACTGTTTTTAAGGTCCTGATGCAAGTTGCAGCCAACTACAAGCGTTGCCCCAATTTTTTCTTTTCGTTATTTTTGTGCAGCCGCCTCATCAACAACAAGTCAATGTCACAATGTTTGCTGGGAGCCAAACAAAGCAGTGGCGTGAAGGGGTTTCAACAGATGGTACATCGCTCTGCTCGCCGGCTTCGGCACATGCTGCTTTTTAAAAAAAACAAGAAATACGGTGCCACCATCTGCAGGTTTCCTGCTGGCCCGGAAAGATTTTGCAATACAAACTTCTAGTTATACATTTATTTAGGTTGGCTGAGCATCTGTTACACAGCAATGCCCTGTTGGCAGGTACAATGAAATCAAATGGTGTGTCAAATGACACAGGTGCTGCTTCAAAGCTGTTAGAAGCGGGTACGGGTCCATTGGTCAGAAAGGTCCACAGTTTAAATCGGATCTGCAAAGGTGGATTTGCAAATGACTCTTACGAGCCTCATTACTAAGAGTGAAAGAAGTTCATAAATCTTTTTTACCTAAAAATGAATATCATTGGCTCTTGCATCTGCATGCAGAAATGAGTATTGTAATCATATCCAGTAATGAACCGAAGAGCTGAATGTAAAAGTGGAGGCAGCCGAGGAAAGTCTCAACCAGCGTGACTGTTCTTTTATTTGCATAAAGCACCAGTTCAGAATTAACGGCAGTGTGTTGCGTTGTTGTAAAGGATAGTTTCATTTAGCCACGGGTTATTTAATAGACTCAGTCACACGGTAAAAAGCAGCATCATCCCTGGCTGAGTTCAGTAATCAACCCCTTCCAGCATTTTTTCAAACACAAAGCAGCGCTGCTCTTCATGAGGGAACCCCATGTTCCGCTACTTTAATAGCTACGGGGCTGATTCTCTAAAACCAAACATTCTCCCATTATCCTTCCTACATCCTCCCAGCTAGCTGAAAGGACAAATAATTCAGTCTGCGCTGGCGGCATGTTGGGAGGCCGGGAGCCATCCATCTGCAATTACTGGATGCGCTGCAGTTTCAAAATTGTCAAAATGTCCCTTTAATCGGTCCTTCGTCTGATGCAATAACAGGTCAGGGAGGGGTGTTTGGAACCAGCTCGTACTTGTGTTTTTTTAGAAAAAAAACATGCAACCTTGTTGAAGCATGACGCACAGTGTTTTGCATTGTTAGCATGTTACTCGGCGGGGAAACAAATCCATTGAACACTTCCTAAGAAAACATTTCAGCACAAACATGATTCAGTACATGTAGTTTCAGTAACTACATCACCAGTAAAGGTTAAACAAAGAGCTGTTGGTTCAAACTGAAGGCCGGCAGCAGCACCGTATCTGTTGAAAGCTGATAACAGGAGATTCTCAATTAATGATGAACGCATTGCTTTCAGCGAGCTCAAGACTGGTTGGATTTTCCCTGCAGTCTGTAGCTGCTCTGGTTGGGGAAGAGGAGGACGAGCGAGCCGCATCCTGACTTGGC